CATGTAAACTTGAACAAAAATTAAAATTCTAGCCGTATTTACAACGTTCGCTCGATTTTCATCGTGAAAACAGCATGGAGAAGGCAAACTGGTGACCTTTTGGCCTACCCCATTCAACGACTATCGGGCACCCACCGCTGTTGGCGCTGTAACGATTAAGTATCTAAGTTGCATAGGAGAACAGCGCATTCTGGGTGTTCGTGTACTGAATTCGAAAGCCGTAATAAACATCAAACATGCCTGCCGGGTTAGTTTACGCGAGTATTCGTAATTGAATAATATTTTAGTTATCTTTTCCACGTACTTTTTTCAATTTATCCATTTGTTATGTCTAATCTTTCGAGAACATGGCAGATTCTCTTATTTTGCCGATCGCTAGCATTTTTTCTTGAATTACAAAACAACGTGTGAAAACGCAACGTATCGTGACCGTACATGCGTAAATGCATCTTACCGTCCGTCGGCACAGGTGAGTACTGATGCCACAAATAAAAATGGGTTTTGTTTTGACAAATCGTCCGTTTTGGCTTCGGGGTCAAATTACCTCGTATATTTTCTACATTATTATTAACTCAATTATGTTTTGTACCTGCTCTTTGTTACTCGAATAGATTAATTTACGAACGTATAAATCAACGATTTCAAACTTTTTGCATTTCGTAAATATTGATAGTGACCAATCTGTTTGTATTTCAAAAAATTGTAACATGTTTCAATTAAATTAAATTAACTTTAGTGTGTATTGCAGTTCATGACATAAATGCTAGAATGCTGTATGTAAATGAATGCAAATTTATGCTAATTAAGCCGCCCACCAGCTATTTTGGATTGTGGAGAACACTGCACATGTAGGTGAATGTACTTCCCTTCACAAGGTCAGTGTATCATAGTGTGTGGTAAGAATGTCACATTATAACAAGACATGACTCAACAAATAAAAACAATGACATTGTTTCCTTTTAGCAGTCATGGTGCAGTACAAGAAATACAATGTATCTCATTCTGTCACTAAAATATTTTTAGACACAATCAATACATTTTATCAAGGGTACACAAACTGGAGGATAGCACAAAACATCCCCCAGAGTTTAATTTCACATATTTTACAATATTGTTTCAATTCATGTGTTGTGTTGCATGTTTTTATTACATTGTACAAATTTGCACAAATTTGCATAAAATGCGGTCGATCGGCGAGCACCCACCACCACCGCGGTAAACCGCGAGTTTGATTTCCTACTCTTCCCTAAATCAGAATGTCTCTGGGCTATAGCAAATTCTTTCAAAGAGAAGGGCGTGGGAGACAGTTAGCAGTGCTTTATTGACGAGACGATACTGCACACACATTCCCTCGCAGTGATCGATACACAGTAACAAAACCCCGGAAGAACAAAAACACGCATGCGCAAGGCTAATTAGCATAATTTATTTGGATGAAAAAAAAAACAAAAGGCATGGCCGTTGCGTTGATTTTTTACCTTTTGCTATCAGTTCCAGTTACATGCGTTTTTGTCGATATTTATAGGAGTTCAAAGTGAATAAATATCGATACTAAATAACAAGTGAGTTATGTTTTTTTTGTTGGTAATCAATTCGATCTGGGATTTACCGTCGACATTCCGATTCACCCCGGCTACATAGGGATTGTGTCCTGGCGATTCACAAAATGTTTGCGGGTTGTGGTTGCTCGATTCATTGAACAAAACCCCTGGTACAAAGCACTTCTGTTCACATTATTCATGTGGTATACATATTTTGATAAAACATTAATGGCAGCATGTTTTTATCAGGACACTCTCAAATTTTTAATTATGTTTTTGGTGTTCCCAGACCATCGGTACGCTATGCTGGCCGTGGTAAACTGAATGAAACATTCTGTAAAAGGGTTAATTATTCACTGGGTTTTAATTTAGCTTATTTCGCTGACTGGAAAATGCGCTAAATTAAAACCCAGTGAATATGTAAAATTGATCATATAACACATTATCTAAATGATAAAACCGTGAATTTAAAACCCACTGGATATGCCTGAAATGGTAAATCAGCGAAATTTAAACCCAGTGAAAATTAGTCATTTTACAGTAATTGCCGGTTGAATGAAAGGTGTGAAAACGTGCTAACTTTGTCCTTTGTGATCTTTGGAGCTGATTAGTTGGCTGAGATTTAAGGCAGTACTCTGCAAGACATCCGGGAACTATGTTCGTTATATGCAGTTCAACTGATCGCTGCGGCTGCTGAAGCCTGGCCGTTGGCCGCGTTAGACAGGTGGCCGCTATATACAGGGTACTTTACATGTAAATTTCGTAGGCACTGTTCGGTTGAGACCGCTATAGGCAGGTGGCCGCTATATCCAGGTGCCGTTAACACAGGTTTGACTGTATCTTGTGTATAACTACATTGTATACTGTGGAATACTTTATTTTCGCTGGAATTAATTTCCGCTGAAAAGGCTTTTTGGGCGTTCTTTATGGAATTTATTTTCACTGATTTTTGATGAGTTAAATGTGAAATATAGGAAAAAAAGTATATTCGCTGGATTTTATTTTCACGGAATCATCCCTTCAGCGAAAATAGCAAAAATAAATTCCAAGCAAAAATAAAGTATTCTACAGTATATCTTCTGGTGTTAATTTAACAAACATTAGAACCATAGGCCAATATAATTCAATGTTAATAGATTTTTATTTTATTCTATCAACAGTCAATTCGGAAGGAGAGTCCGCATAAACGTCCCTCGTACTCGTATATGTCCATGATACAGTTTGCTATAAATAGTAAACCGGACAAAAAGATGACGCTACAAGAGATTTACCATTGGGTGGAGTCTACTTTCCCTTACTTTCAGTCAGCAAAGCCAGGATGGAAGGTGAGACTGAATTCACAGTCATTTTTATGCATGTATTATTATTTGTATGAACCATTTCAATGAAATAATAATTGAACTGACTTTTATTATTGTGAATTTTGGCCAAATTGAGGAGAATTCACATAATTGAAATGTGTTCCGTTAATGCCCCAACCCAGGCAACTGTTTCACTAATCCTTGATAGTTCATGGTGTACATGTACCATAGAAAAAAATTATGTGTATGGAATAATTAAAAGTACAACTTATTTTCCCCATAGAAAACATCAAAAGTGTACTGTAAAATACTTCACTTGGAATTAATTTTTGCTGAAGGAATGATTCAGAAGAAAATAAAATCAAGCAAATATTTTTTCCTATATTTTACATTTAACTCATCAAAATTCAGTGAAAATAAAATCCATACAAAACACCCAAAAGGTCTTTTCAGCGAAAATTAATTCCAGGTAAAATAAAGTATTTCACAGTATCTACATTTAAGCACATATGTATGATATAGTAATAGTATTGACTTATTAAAAACGTGATAAATAACAACATAACTGGAACATTATGGGAACTGTTACAACAATTTTTCTTAAAGGAAATGATCTCTTTTATTAGCAAGCTAATGTAGTGTAAAGAAAATGCTAAAAATCTGACCTCCTCTACATGCTAATGTCTTTGAAGTGCACATTATTAGAACCACACAATTTTTTTGCCGAATGGACACAGCTGAGCTAAATTGTAAAAAAAACTACATACAAATATATTTATATAAATAATATTTTGTCAAAATTCTGCTAGATTATAAATATAGATCAAAGTTGATGACATGTACAAATTAGTGCATGCAGAGGCGAGTCTATGGACAAAACACAATAAGTGCAACTGTTGGTTCACATGCGTTTCTATTGGAGATGCACTATTAATAGTGTGAGGAAAGAGAAGAGGGGTTTGGGATATTGGGATGATGACAGAGGGTGTCGTGTCAGACTATACTATCACTACAAAATAGTGAAACTTGATTGAGTATACTGTAGAACATGTTGAAATAACTGCATGCAATTTTAGCGAATTTGGTAAAGAAGTGGCAAGCAACATGATACAAGTTTGCATATATATATAGGCTTGATAGGATTCACATGAAGTTGACAAAATAACTTGCGCTAAGCACACATTGGTCAACAGTTTGTATACTTGACATTGTATCAGGTTCACATATAAATCGTTAGTTGTTTGCCATTGAAATATGTGCAAATATGACATTAAATGTCGAACATAATAAACAAACGACTGATTATAAAGTTTCAATAACAGAGCAAATATGATATATTTTCTCATTTATCTACTGAATTAAGATTTTAGGACTAAATATGCATTTTTATGAAAGAAGTTTTTTTAAAGTATTACAATTCCCAAATCAAATTTACACTAAATTGTTTGAACAAGTGATTTTTTTTTTGTCAATTATCTACTGCCTAATACTTAGTTCAGGAAAAGACCAGAAGTGACAGTTATTTATTTGTACCGGTATATTACAGAATTCAATACGACACAACCTGTCTCTACATGATGTCTTTGTACGTGAAAAGCCAGAGGTAAACGGAAAGTCGTCATTCTGGAAGTTAAAAGAAGAAGAAAAACAAATAAAAGTACAACCCTTTACTGGGTACTCAGGTGAGTAGACTCTTCAGTTTGTCAATCAGTGAGTGGTTAAATCACACCCCACTCATCGCAATTTCAAGCAATGTATTTTGTGTTGTGTACACATATGGTTGGATCTATGAGAACATAGGCACTACTGTATTTGCTCTGTGTGTAGTGTGTGTGCTTCCGTAAATCATAGATTTTAGTTGCGTTAGTATAACCTCATGAATATACATGAGGTCAGATAAATTTGGGTAGATGAATCAGTAATCAAAAAAACTAGGATAGTGTCAGGTGTTTTATAACTAAAAAACTAAAATAATTTTTTGTTCATGAAATAAAAAGCGGGCAGTGTCATCTAAAAGCTGCTATGAAGTGGTGGAGTTGAGGTTGTTTGTGTCCTGAACTCTATCCTATGGTTACATCAGTTATATTTTTAGTAAGATTTTGTACTCGGAAACATGGATTTTGTTCATTTATGTGTGTTCGTATTGAAGATATACATTGTAGTAGAGTAAATCCAGTAATGTTTTGTAACATTGTTTTGCTTATCAGAGAGTATATGTGAACAAATGTTGATATTGTGAAACTTTGCCAATTTGTTTTAGAAACATCAGCAAAATAAGATTTGATGTGAATATATGATGTTATATATCTGTCAACCTTTGCAACATTCATCTCATAATCCTTTGAGATCTGGTCTTCTATTCTTCTAGAGATGTCATATAGAGTATCGAGCATTCCAAATCTTGTATTAATGTTTTGTTCATTTTTGTTTTCACAGTTCCTGGTGCCCGTTCCAAAAATACACCAATCTTGCCAAGATTAACACAGTCTTATGCTATTATTCCTATTCCGTTAATGGTACAAGCTATGCCATGTATTTCGTCTCCTGTATTGACACCCTCCTTACCCATCACATCGACCCCAGCACCAAATTTCTTCACACCAAGCGGTCCCGAAAGTACAATGACGATGCGCCCAATGTGTCTTTCTAAGAATCTCAAACGATATGCACAGGAGAGTAATGGTGAACCAGGCAATAAAAAGGTCAAAATAGCTCCAAAGCTTTTGACTACTGACTCTTGTGAAAGCAATGCTAGAGTAAGCACAAGATACACATTCAATGGCTCATCTCCACATATATCCATAAATCAGGATTCTGGAATGGATTCTATGATCTCAGAAACTGAGCATTGTGTCACCCATCAGCCAACTATTGGACGTTTACCCATGCCTGAAATACCCAGAAAGAAACATGGTCGCAAATCTCGGAGACCGCACAAGATTGTCAAAGATGAAGATCAGCAAGAAAATGTGCATTTTGACGTTAGTTTTTCAGAAATATTTCCACCCTTTGATGGTTTGGAGTCATCTCCTCTACGGGGTTTAATGAAAACTCCACCAAAAATTGGTATCACTTTTACTTCAACTCCAAACAAAAATATGTCCAACATAGATGGACTGACTTCTTTTGGTTTTACACCATTGAAGACACTGGACCATATTGATAGTGGAATTGAGTCTTCTCATAGGTCAAGCAACAGAAAGTTTGGTAATAACTTGACTCCACTGGTGAACAATTTCTCAAGTCCAGGAGTAAACAGATTCTCAGACATGATTGGTTTCAGCAATGACCTTGTACTGACTCCTGATGCTACCAAAGCTGTTGACTGTATTGACGGATCAGCATTCAACTTTGATTTTGCATCACCCAAACTGTTGACTCCAAACAAATTTAAACTCAATAAATCAACAGATGGGGACGACTCACTGAGAATTGGCTCGCTCAGTGACCTTGGTCTGACCGGGTTAACACCAATGAAAGAAAACAAAATGGAATCAAACCAGAGTTTTACTAAGTTATGGAATGATGTAAGTTTCAGTGGAATCATGGGAGAAGACGATCTTGGAAACATTAGCTGGAGCAATTTACAATCAATTAATTGATCTAGAAGTCTGCATTGGAATTACTTGGAGTAAAGTAATATTCACAACCAAACATGCAACATTTCAACATTTGTTTCGTGCTGTGTAGCAGGTAACTGGGTTGTAAGCAAGTCTGCTGTGGTATATCCCTGCTCATATTATTTGCACTCATGTTGGTGTTGAAATAATGATGTCACAATCTTTTGGAGTACACAATCTTCTGCTTAGTTACTGTAAACTGTTTGTCACAGCTTGAAATTTTTGTTGAAGATATTTCATGAATGTTACTATGACTCTCTGTTAAAGAAACTATTCATTGCTAGTGCTACTAAATATTGTGACATCAGTTGAGACTTAAATTGTATTGCCTTACAATATTTGCTCTATTAGTATTGCATGCCAAGATTTTTCCATGGTCAAAATAGGTAATATTTTAATGATTTAGTATACATCCAGTTTGGTTAATATGAGCTTCTATTGAAAATGTGTTTTTAATGGAGCAAATACACTATAATTGTAAATATTATTTGTCTTTTTGTCAAGTACAAACCCAAGGACTTGTTTTTGGTTCTGTGCATTGTATACATGTGTCTGTCTTGCTCATTTATGGAATGATTTGTTAAAAATTCTGTTGCATTGATACAACATAAGAGAGTGACATAATATTTTTTTGGATATGATAAAAGTTGACCAACTGTGGATCATATTTATTCTCTAAAACACAAAATTTCCACTTGTTATTAACTTTTGCTGGGCTGGGCTCACAGTCTCACCATGTTTGTTCAAAATGTGACATACACATGTTTACTCAAATTTGAATGCTCGCTGTTTTAATATCACACGGCCAGTGGTACTCAGGTATGGAGTTTTATTTTGTGTTTTGGTCTTGCCTGTTTCTTGACATACCTTAACTTAATGTTTAAATTTGTGACAAAATGACTGCGTTTGTGAGTCTATCGAGTTCAGGGAAATACTCTTTAACCAGTTAAATTGGTTCATTTTAATGCCAGAGTTTATATTATTCAAATGTATATTATATTGATACTCTCTTATTTTATATGCTAAAATATTCTGATTACTGTAGTGTATCTTTCAATAGAGTACTGTAAATCTGTATTAGAAACCGCGGCTTCTATTAAAATGGTACAATGCAACATAGGGGATGCTGCTTCTATTAGAGCATCTACACATATAAGAAATAGTGAATTTTTTCAATTGTTCAAAAAGAATGGGTGAGACTTCTAATACAGACTGTAACGGTAATGGTAGTTTGGTTTCCAACTCTCCATTTTATTTGAGAATGGCTGCTAATATTTTGCCTCCATGGTTATACATGTAGAGTGAATATGAGTGACATTGATTGGCTGGTGACAGTTGTATGTTTAACAAAAGATAGTTGCCATATTGAAAGAAGTGTGACCTTCCCATTCTTCATTACATTGCCGTAAAGTGACATAGTTTAATGAGCTAATATTAGTAGCCTTTTCAGGAATATGTGGAAAGTTGGTAACCAGTGGAACGTTGGTCATTGACCCAGGCTGATAAATTGGGCAAATGTACATCTGTATGAAAAAAAGCAAGATTTCATTACTTTTTATTTTAGATAAGTTATAGAAAGTTCAACTGTGAACCATATATTGATGTAGGGTACAAGATCTCCATATGGGATCAATAGGTAGCTAAACTGTTGACTTTATTGCAATAACTAGGAATGAGGTTGTTTACAATATCATTGTGTAGCTCAAGTTCTTTACCTTTTACTTCACATTCACGTCATTAATTTGAAATTTAATTCAGCCTTGCAGGATGGAATGTTATGTACAGGAATGTTGTGGCTAGTATCCTAAAATTGCATTGCTACTTGGCATTACAATATACTGTAGAATACTTTATTTTCGCTTGGAATTTATTTTCGCTATTTTCGCTGAAGGGATGATTCCGTGAAAATAAAATCCAGCAAATAAACTTTTTTTCCTATATTTCACATTAAACTCATCAAAAATCAGTGAAAATAAATTCCATACAAAACGCCCAAAAAGTCTTTTCAGCGAAAATTAATTCCAGCGAAAATAAAGTATTCCACAGTACATGCAAAACACCTCTCACTGATCACTGTGATTACATGTACCATGAAATAGAAAATCAGTTGGTATGGCAACCAATCCAGAAATATTGTAGTGCTGAAGGGTGGGGCGTTTACTTTCATTGTTGTAATCAGGCCCACTTTATTTTTTTCAAAATTTGATTTCAGGAATTCGTTTGATAAGATTTCAAATCTACAAAATGCTTACAGTTTTCAGTGAGGTTTCTAGACACCATACCAATGTGTGAATGCAGCTAAAAAGCTGCTCCCATTGCAATATCATGGCTGATGTGAATATATTTTCTTTCTTTTTTGTGATAAGTGAAAGTAAGATGCATTTCCAGCATTCTAATTCTATGGAAATAGTGATAAATAAAAAGTGAAAGTAATCATTGTGGAGTAAGTTGTATTGCAAGGGAAAGTTTGTGTGTGTATTTGACTACTGTAAAAGCATTAATATTCACCGTTTTTAATTTCACTATTTGTACATTATATCATATACTGTAAAATGATTAATTTTCACTGGGTTTAAATTTCACTGATTTACCATTTCAGGCATATTCACGGTTTAAATTCACGGTTTTATCATTTAGATGTGTTCTTTGGTAAATTTTACATATTCACTGGGTTTTAATTTAGCTCATTTTCCAGTCAGCGAAATAAGCTAAATTAAAACCCAGTGAATAATTAACCCGTTTACAGTATTCATTTGTTTTGGAATTCATATAATTCTAAGTATGATTTATTTTTACAATCTGTGAAATCAAAACCCAGTGAATAATTAAAGCATTTACAATATTTGCTTGTAGTATAGTCCATGTGACTACTCAAATGTTATTGCCGTAGTATCATTGCATGTAACAAATAAAAATATCAAAAACCACATTAGAACCATTCAACACTGGAGTTAATTGTAAATCCCGTGATGTAATGTGACAGCTTCCTGTCGTGAAAGACCAAACAGAAACAAATGCCTATATAAACATTGTACCATGCACGGAACTAAGGGCTTTGTAGTTCCGTGTACCATGGTACAGTAGTGACATATAATTTTACTCAAACTAAAGTTTCATTGCATCAATGAAAAATATGTTTGCCATTTGGCCATATAATTTTTGACCAGTCTGTACCAATAGTAGATAAGGAACGCCCTAACTTGTTAAGAATATACAAAAACTTTGGTCATTTTAACTATGATTACTCAGTACAGTAACTAGGAAAGTATACTGTAAAATACTGAAGGAATGATTCAGTGAAAAAAAATCCATTGAATATACCTTTTTTTTCTATATGTTACATCCAACTTGTCAAAAATTCAGTGAAAATAAATTCCATACAAACACCCAAAAAGTCTTTTCAGAGAAAATTAATTCCAGATAAAAAAAAAAGTATTTTACAGTACATATAAGTTCTATGGTTATGAAACAATACCAAGTAAATTCAAATAACAGGAAGTAGAGTCTCATGTCAGTTTATTTGTTCTCAAGTACAATGCCCCTTGATGTATTGATTGTCATGTCAGAAATGGCATACCTAAATAATTAGTTATGAATATAAATGGTAAATTGTTAAAATGACATTGATTTGAATACAATGGCATTTTGGACGCTTGGCGTTCACGCACACTATATTAGCCCAAGTTAAGGAACTGGACACGATCTTAAAAAATGGGCCAGATTTAATCCTTACTTAGATTTTCTCAGCTCATGTTAAGCTTCGTGTACGTTTTCTTAGCATGGGTCAAGAGTTCAAATACCTAAATTAACCAGTGCTAAGAAGCTGTGCATGAACACTACTACTTGAAATATGTGATTAGGGAGTTTCAGATAAACACAGGGTGGGTTTATGACTAGTTTTGACAATAAATCATTTAGATAAGTGTGAAGTGATAAAATGGTAATAAAATACGACTTAAAGGTCATATTCTACCATAATTTTCAGACAATTCTTTTGAGAAGAAACCAGGACAATCTGAATGTTCAATTTTCTTAAGTCTCTCTCTGTGAAGGTTTTGATAAAATAATACACATGATTTACAGTATTTGCATATCAGTGTATGGTGAAAAATAGATTCCTTTGAATTGTGCCCCTCTTGTGTATCTGTAATCATGCAAGTTATAGTATGTTTATGATTGTAAATACTGGTCAGTCTTGTAAATGCAAAAGGTAGTACGTGTATTAGATTCTGACCACAACTACCCGATACAATCTTGGCATACAATCATTCATGCATTGTGATTATAGAAAGAATAAATGTAAATAAAGAGACTGGCTGTATATATGAAAAATGACTAGACAATGAAACCGAGTTGTCTGTTTCAACAACACTGCTTATAAACTCATCTACATTATTTCGATTCATACTTGCAACAAAAAATATGATATCAATGAGCCTATATAATGAGATTTTCTGTAACCCATCTCCAATTTATGTGATGTGGAAAGCCCACAGCTAAAATGAATGAATATGCTACCATAATCAACTGACAGTGATCTCTGCTGAACAAATCATGCAAAATCAGTATGGCAAGTATATATTTTAAAAACTCATTGCCACATAGATGCATCTGACGCAGTTTGTATATACTTCCCAGAATGCAATTGGACACAAGAGTCTGCATATAACAATGGAAGAGCGGACACTAAAAATCCTGAAAGATTGACAGGTTTATTTTCATATATTCAAAATCTGATACAATCACTGACAAATATACAAGTCATTTACAAATAGGTAAAGAGAAGTGGGAATCAAATATGTATCACCTAGTTTTTGTCTTTTTGACAGTCCAAAGTTTGTTATTACCAAACAACACTACCATAGTCAACGATTTACTGCTAATAATCACTTTGACTTGTCAAAGTATGCTAATTTGACTGACAAATTGACAGAAAATATTGATTACTGTAGAGAAATAGTCACTGGGTTTAGTATTAGCAGATTTGATGTACAGATATTGACAGGTTTGTGAAGGGAACAATACATTATATTATTAACTTTGTATATTCATTAAATTTTACTTCAGTGTCTTTACCTACCAGCAAAAATTTAAATCCATTGAAAATTTAAGTCCTATACAGTATACTAGTATGTTAATGCATTTTTAGAAATAATTTTATACATTGTCTGTGAAACATGAAATATTACTGACAAGTGAAGGGATAGTTGTCGCACTGCATTGTGGGTTCCATAGCGAAATATACAACATGTATAAAATACATTGTTTGGTTACATAAAATTCAAACGCATGTTGAACGCCGACTGTAGCACTTTGAGTGAATCTTATTGTAAACCCTAACACACTCTGAAATGCCTTGATATATTCACTATGGAGAGTTTCATTGATGATGATGATCTACATCAGTGTACATGTTAAATTGGGCCATATTTGTACATGTGGTAATAGTGCATTCCCACATTTAGCGCATGACCTGCAATAAACGTCTTGCTGACCCCGGTCAGCATCACAGGGGTACTGGATTTGTGTCAACCGTTCTAATATTTTAGGATTGATAATTTTATTAGTACTCTCTGATCACAATATTTTATATACATGTTGACCATAAATTATGTATTCACTAGGTTATTTTGTATTAAAGCGAGGGAGTCGTCACCTGTGCATACATCAGATGACCATAGCGTGCAATTGTTTACAAACATCTACCCATGAGCCTTTGCGTTTTTAGCGTGTTATAGTAGCTTGGGACTGAATTGGTGCGCATACACAGGTGACGACGCTCTCATTTCAAATAAAATACACTGTACTACAAAGTGAGAATAATGTATACGACAGCAGGGAAAGATAATTTGTACATTTCTTTTTGATTTATTGTACTTTTTACGTAGAAGTAAAGCAGATAAAATACAATTCTGAATCTGATCTTATACATTTACAGAGATTGCGTTAAAATTGTATTGTCTGCAAAACTTAATTGAATATCTTGAGAATCACAAAAGCTGATTGTATTTATTAAAAGTAGACATATTACATAACATGTCCAGGACTTCAATTGAGTTTTGCTTTTAATACAACTGTCATAACATTAACGTGCAAGTAACCCATGACAGGGTAGAGGAATTCTAAAATCTATTTGTTTGGGTTCGGAAAAAAAGATTTTAACACAATAATAGTATCATGAGGTTGTCATAGCAAGTGGATAATATACCACTACTACGAATGGTTGAATTTTGTATGAACCAAAGATATATTTGACATGTACTGTATGTTACATGGGACTATATGGAACCCAGTACACTGCACTAATTGTGATGTATTATCATTCAGACACATTAAGAAATGATTACCATTATTATAGTCAATATAAAAGTTTTGCTTGAGAACAATGTGCAAGACACATTACATCTTGAATGAATACATAATAACAATTGAACGAAGAATCTAAAGAAAACTACATACACCACATATGAATGGTACAAATAATCAGGATGAGTCACTTCTGATATATTATTTAAAAAACATGTAAAACCACCTGTTTAAAATGGTTTACAAGAAACACGTGTTATTAGGTGAAAAGCATAATCAACAGTGCGTGTTTGAAGTAGTTATGTGTCTCTGTTATTGGATGTAATTGAGCCAATATGTCATTACAGGGAGAAAAAAAAATAACTGGAACAGCAAAGTAACTAATGTTGAGTTACTGTGGTTTGGATGTCTGATAAAGAGCGGTGGTCACTGTGCAGTGCCTGTTAAAACAAAAAATGCATTTTACACACGTTGTATATATCACTGAGTCCTATGTCGATGCAGCAAGATGCACTTCTATCAGAAACCTTGTAATGTTGATTGGCCATAAAGAGTTACAGTCATTGAACAGTGTGCATTCACATTCCATGTAACAACCAGTGTATTAAACACATGTTGCATGGGATTCAAACACAGCACAACGACCTCCGACCTTTAATTAAGATATTACTTCTCAAACAAAAAACTAATCAACTAGCGAGTAACAAGTACAGTAAAGTGTTTACTTGGATAAAATACAAAAATAGTTTTTTTGTTAATTAAAAACACTTCAATAATAAAAATTTGCTGTTTTGAAAAAAGAAAAGCTATATTCTATATAAATATTAAAATCAACAACAAGAAAGCTTTAAAAGACGTACAAGCTTTCATCACTTCACAAATTGAAACATGAATAGAGTTCATTTTAGGAATGAAAAGTCAACAAATAGTCTCAGCAAATGAGGGATTCACAACAAACACAGAGCAAAGTACACAAACAGTTTCAAATACCAGTACAAATACATGTATAAATATTAAAATATGTTTTTTATTCTCTTTCTTGTTTCTCTCTTTAAATTATAAATACGGATTTTATTTAAAAGTATGTCCATTTATACCTTTGTCTGAGTGCTACAAATGGTGGCAAAACATCAAAAATTTTGTTCGGGTTAGTTTCTAACCTTGTATTTTGAACTACATGCTATGGTGAGGACATGTATCATACTTCGCTCTGATTACAGTATATTACTGATTATTCAATGAGTTTGAGAAATTAATTGAGACTTACAACATCAATTGTAACCAATTATTTAAAGTACCAGGGTTAAATTTAAAATGAAGTAAGCTAATACAAGTCGAATAGCAAAAGAATGTGAAAAGAATTGTTTTCTTTAGTATAAAGAATTTCTTACAATGATGCAGCACCAACAGAATGTACCAGGGTAATAGAGACCCCTGGATCCCACAGCATTGAAGCGACTGGTGTGCAGACTGAATATTCATGTAATTCTGTATGAGCAATATTAATGTTTTGTTAAAATGTGATCTCTGTTTTAATTTTAATGGCAGAGAGTGATTTGAGATATAACCAGACAATGTTATGATGAGAAACCTATGCTATCAATTCCAATCATGGGTCACATGATTTAAGTCACATGACTGACACTAGATGATGCAATCTTCAGCAGGTAAGTGTAGCTAAAAGTGACAATACTGGATACAATAAAATCATTGTTCATTGATTTGATGATGATTTAGCTAGTGATCTCCATTGTGTGCACCGTCAGTTGTTGGAACCCCGACTAAATCAGCAGAATGTTCCATAATGACATGGGCATTCATTATTCCAGGATCGGCTGAGACATCAAGATGTAACGGCAGTGCATTCGTATCCACAGATGATCCGTTCTGCGAAAAAACAAACAAAAGGTTTAATTTTATAGTTTGAGATTCCCACAAATTATTGTCAATAAATTTTAGGTACCAACAAAGATTGTGGACCAGAATAAGACCCTTCACTGCCCACCAATTAGGCCAAATGGGTTGCCTTAAAATAGTATGGTTTTACAGTAGAACGTCGATTATCTGGACTGTTAGGGGGACATGCTTTTTGTTCGGTTATGCAAACAGTTCGGATATGCGATCTTGTGTGGGCGTGCTCAAATTTACAGGCTCACGTACACACAAATTCTAACGCACATGACTGTAATGAAATCAAACAATAGTACATGTAGAGTACGTCATTAAAAACATTTTTATTTAATCAGTAATACATTGTAATAAAAATGTTGCATGCTGGAATGTTAAAAAATGATTCAAAATGTCCGTAAAATGTAGCGATAATAAGTTTCTTTGCTTCTTTCTTGGGAAAACCAAGTCCCGGAACCAAGTGAAGACGGATTTCTCTAAACGATCGTCATAGGCTGTTTTCATTATCTTTCGTTTGAGTCCTGCACTTGAATCCATTTTACTAGAAAAATCCAGCAGCTTTTGTTTTGCCTTGATATCGGATATCGTCGATTTACCAACACCATACTCTGTAGATAGATTGCTTGCGGTTTCGCCACGTTCTAGTCGATTTATAATTGACACCTTCGTGTCCAAATCAAGCACACAGCGTTTGCATTTCACTGGGGTAGCCATGCCAACGCTAGATAAAGTAAACAGGTGAAAGGTTGCTTCGTATTTGCTGTGTATAGATCGGCTCGATGTTACCAGATTGCTCGTGGATTTTTGAATGGTAAACTGCTACAAGATGTCACGATTTTATTGGATTCAGCAAAGTTTTTAACACCTAGAACGATTGACATAATAAATTGTTGTAAAAATCCAGGTTGGCTACTGTGATCACCGGACGTAAACACTTTGACGC